TGAGCTCGGAGCCCCGCCCCGGAGGCGGGGCCGAGGTTGGGGGGGCGGGGACAGGGAGCTGGAGCGGACGAGGGGGGCGAGGGCGAAGAAGAGACCTAAGGATGGATGTCGGTGTCCAGCACTGCTTTCCCTGTCTTGGCAAGTTGTGTGTGTGTGTGGGGGGGGCACTGGCCTGATGACCCAGGCTCCCCAAACTGGGGTTCCATCTTGGGTTCATTGTCCCCACCAACTCCCACCATTTGTCCTTCCTCCTGCCCTGCTGACCCCCCCCAGAAGAGAGTCCCCCCACCTACTCAACACCCCCCAGCCTTCCCAGCCCCTGTGCTGCGCTACCTATTGCAAAACCCTTTCCCTCCTAAGGAATTGGAGAAACTGAGTCCGGGTGTCCTGGAATCTCAGCGATTCGTCTGGATGGCGGGGATGGGGATGGGGATGGGGTGGGGGATCACTGAACAGAAGCGATCTCAGATTTGGGGGCATCATCTCTAACCTCTTCCGACACCTCCCCCCTCCCCTGCCCTCTCACCCGCCACCTGCCAGAGCATCCGCTTTTCCCAGGCTAGGCTTTCGTGCCCTTGCTGCCCCCTGGCGGCGGAGTTAGGAGAAGCTGGGGTGGGGGGGATGAAGAGGGCACAGCACCCCCCCTTCCCTTCCCCCCCATCACATTCTGTCTGGACAGGTCCTGGGCTTCCTCTCTCATCTCTAGGCCTCATCCCCTCTCATCCGAGGGCAGTCAGAGAGATGAATGAGTCAGGCTGGCTTTGAGGGACAGTGAGAGACTTCCAAGGGCAAAAGGAAGCAGTAGAGTGAGAGGGAGGTGAAATGAGGGAAGACAGTAATGAGACAAGGATCCAAAATGGAGGGGTGGGTAGAAACTGTCCCCGCATAAGAGAGGCAGTGACTCTGCCGTTCCTAACGCCATCACCACCAACCATCACCTAAGGTTGATAGAGCCCTCGGATTGCGCCAGCCCTGTGCAGAGCATATTATGGTATGGATTATCAAATTTAACCATCATAGCCACTATTTGAAGAAAGTACAATTATTATCTGCATGTTACAGATGAAAGAACTGAGGTTGAGAGAGGTTAAATAATTTGCCCAAGGTCATAAGCTAGTAAGTGGCTGAACTGGGATTTGAATTTAAACCCAGGCAGCTTGACTCCAAAGCCATGTACTTAACTGCTGCACAGGACTTCCAAAGGCCTGTCTGCAGCTTTTCTGCAGAACTCACTCCCTGCAGAATTTGACACTATTGATGCAGCCCGCCACACTCTCTCCCTTGGCTTCTCCAACTCTACAGGAACCTATTTTCCTCCCCACCCCCTCCAGTGGCTCCTCCATTTCCTTTGCTGGAGTCTCCTCCTGTTCCCACTGCCCAATTCTGCTTATTTCCCAAGGCTCAGGCCTTGACTATCCTACTTTGTTTTTTTTTTCCTGCTTAAATAAAAATAATAGCAGAAATACAGCCATGATTGCAGTTCACACTGATTGAGCACTTTGTACTGGGCATTACGATTATGTAATAAGATTCACACAACCTTGGGAGTTGGTTCTATTACTATCTCCCCAATTAGTGTTTTTTTTTTAAATTTTTTTTGTTTTTTGACAAGGTTTTTCCACATAGACCAGGCTGCCTGAAACTCACAATACTTTTGTCCCAGATTTGCTAGGATTATAGGTATTATGCTACCATGCCTGGCTATCTCCTTTTACAGCCGGTAAATTGAAGGTTTTGGATGGTTAAAAGACTTGCCTAAATGCATACAACCAGTATTTTGTTGTTGGTGGTGGTGTTGTTAGTGGTAGTAGTGGTGGTGGTGGTGTGTGTGTATGTATCTGTACTGGGGCTTGAACTCAGGGCCTGGGCACTGTCCCT